CCAGACTGTTTCATAATTTCATAGATATATTGCCAGATACAAAATTAACTATAATATTAAAAACTAAACAAAATTTAATACATTTTTTTAAAAATTGAAACAAACCTATAACTACTTGTATAAAGCAGGAGTTTTAGATTGAGTATACTGCAGCTCATGGCCCAGTACATTGCTGTGCTGTCATTGCATGACATGTCATATCAACTACCCAAATACATTATCTGGCACCTCACTTTGGTAATTGAGCAAATGTGACAGTCTGAAAAGTATTCCCTGCGCCGAGTTGTTAAGCAGATGGCAGTTCTGCATAACCCAGTGCATTAACACAAGTCTCCTGACAAATGCTGCTATTTCAGGTAGCGCTGATGAGATCGTCTGCATTCAGGATTCTGGTACAGTTTGTCCCACATAGCTTTTGGCACAAGAATGCGGAAAAAATACAGCTTGCTGCTGGGGTCTGTATATGAGAATACTGAAGGGGGAAAAGCAATGCAAAAAATATATACATCTATACATGGATTTATGGGATTTATTGCATTTGATTTTGTGGAAAGTGTTTGTATTGTTTTATGTCTGATAACCTTTCTTTTTCAAATTCAAATAAAGATATTGTCATTTAACGTTTTCCTTTTCACAGAAAATAACGGTTAGTAAAGAGATATTTTCAGTTGTTTTTATTAAAAATCAGGGTTATTCCACTAAATGTTGCTTTTTTAAAAAACTTTTGACTTGAAACATTATTGTGTTGTGTTTAAAATGAACACAAACATTTCGGAAAATGCCACTTTTTTGTTATTTTATAAAAACAAAAATAAGAAATATCATCAGTCATTTACAGTGGTTTCTTATGTTTTTCCATATGTTTATCCACAATAATAAATTACTTCTTGTGTATACTTTGCACATTTATCAAATGTTTTTCCTTAGTTTTTTATCCTAGTTACTTAAAAAAAAAATCTGGTAAGCAAATTTGAAATAGAAACTTCCATTGTTCATTGAAAATGAAGTTTAGATGCCAAAACCTTTAAAAGCCATTTGATATTTTCCATTTGAACTCCTGTGTGTAGGCTCAGTAATTTTACATTTATAGTGACACATAAGTTCTTTTCACTGCCTTCAAGAGAAATAACTGAACATAAACATAGGAGGCTTAGAAAAAATCTTATTTTAGAAAAACTTTTTAGACAGCATTTAGTTTTAGCGTCTGAACTTTTCTAATGATCTCTTTGCCAATCACCTGAAAAATAATATTTATAATGATAATTTTTAAAAATCAATCTTCCCATAAAATTAAAATAAAGTTCTTGTTTTTCAATTCACGTTTAGAAGATTTAAAACTGAAATAAATAAAGTAAAGCATGCAGTTTATCACTTCCGGATCAACATTTTTTTCATGTCACCAAATACTTTAGTTTCTCATCAAATCTTGACCAATCAAATGCTCTCTAGTATCTGACATGCCCCGCCCTCTTCAAGAAACTTTTCATTTGCTTTGGATTTGATGCGCTTCAACCACTCACAGCTGTGATAAAAACAAAATCCCACTGGCTGCTTTTTGAAGAGCTACTCTATGACCTGCCCTCTTTTCGTGTTTGATACACCCTTTGATGCTTCCTTAATACGTTCTTGTCACAGCACCAGTGGCACCGAAATTAGGCACTGATGCGGTCCGGTTCATACTGGTTACAAAGGGGTTTTGGTACCCAACCCTAACTGTGAACCTTAGAGGAAAAAGAAACAGACTATGGCTCAGTTGTACAATAGACAAGTTTTGGGTAAAGTTTAGAGAGTATTCTGTCATGATTCGAGTCTTGCATGATTCGAGTCTGTCATGAATTACCGTCTTGCCTCTGGTATTCGATACAGAACTTGTATTAGTAAAACAAACTGGTTCAAACTTTAATTTATCTCCTCAGCTGTAAAGTTTTTTAGATTAGGGTATATTTATATTGTACAACATGTTTTGTGTGATATGCTTGTAAGCTGCAACCAAATTGCCCTAAACCATTCTCTATTTCCCTAACCCGTGTGTGAATAGTGAAACTTTTAACGCTAACAGTAGAGACACAGAAAGGCTGATAGTCTTGTGGGGTCCTCCTTCAGGTCTTGTTTGTGCAGTATCAGGCGGCTCACAGGTGCTCACATCTATCTATCTGTCTGTTTGAAGTGGATCACAGAGGCTTTGATCAGACACACACATGCGTGAGCACAGCGACTCCATGCAGATGTTTACCATACACATCAGCTCACCGGGCCAGGAATGCTCTTTGTAGTCACATTGGGTCACTCGATATGGGTGACGACGGAAAGCCGAGCGCGCAGAGTTTTATATTGCTCTTGGAATCTCTTTGAATGTCTTTGAGGCAATGGTGTATTGTAGATTGTGTAACGGATACTTAATCAGCAGGGCACTGGAGCATAATATGACATGTCAGGGAATAAACCTGCTGGTGCTTAAAGAGATAGTACTGTAATTTGCTGTACATTGGCATTTCTCACAGGCCATTAAAAGCATACACTGTCAAAATGCTGGGTTCCACACAATTGCTTCATGTTGTCCCAACACAAATTGATTAAGTTAACTGAATTGTTTTTACAAATATAAGTGGATTGAACATAAAACAATTAAGTTGTCTCAAAACACAACCTCAAGAATTGTGTTGATTTAGCTAATTTAAATAAGTAGTTTAAACAAGTAGTGAAGAAAATTAAGTGCACATACAATGATACAGCAAGGTCTCAAGAGGTGCAACAACGTGTCTCTAAAGAAACGAAACCTTATTTATAGCTGATTCTGAAACAATTTTTTCTTTTTACATAATAACATAATTTGTATTTCTAGCTGAAAAATAAGTTGACTTTGTGTGTGTGTGCGTGCGTGCGTGTGTGTGTGTGTGTGTGTGTGTGTGTGTGTGTGCTTGCAATGTGTAAAAATACATTTGAATAAATTTAAATAAAAGTAAATACACTGCAAATTGATCTCAGTGTATGGTCAGGAGCCATGTGCATTCATTTTCTTTTGCCTGTTTAAGGTTTTTATTTAATTATTTATTTATTTGTTTTTTAAAGATTTATTTTTGTCATTTTTGCTTTTATTTGTGGATCTTTGGATCGGGAAAGGTCTACAAGCCGGAATTCAATCTCGGGATGCCCAGAGCGCTTCCTCACTATACTGTATCTCAGCAGAATCTCAGATTTACTATAATATGTTTTGGCTGTCATATGTGTAATGGATGGCTTGAGGATGAGTAAATTTACTAGTAAATTTGTTTCCTTTTTATTGAACTAGATATATATTTACATTGTATATCATGTAATTAAATTATCTATTAAGTTTTTGGTTAAATAACTGAGTTGGTTAATCCATTTTTGGGTGTTTTTTTTCTGTCAGACATAGTAGGTATCAGGGGTGCATGATACTGGAGAAATCTGATATTCTCCAATATTTTTCAATATTTTATTATTTTGCTATACATATTGCGAATACTGTGATCACAAAATGGCCTGAACAGCTCTGTTTGACCATTTGGGGAGGCTTACAGTATTCAGGAAATTGAAGAATCATACCTTGTTTCGATTCTAGTCCAAATATCTAAATGCTTAGATCAAGTAAAATATTGTTTTGTTTTGACCTTTAGAAGAAATAAGTCAGAATAAATCAGAATAAAAATTAAGTTTTTCCTTAAAACAAGCAAAATTATCACCCCAGGGGTTAAGTAAAATAATCTTGTTTTCGCTTTTGAAATGTGGATAGTTGGACTAGAAACAAGACAAATTGTGCATAAAAAATAAAATACAATAAATCTATGTAAACATCATAATTTTTTTGTCCAAATGTCCTAAACTCCCTTGAAATGCTTATTTACAGGCCTTAAAAACACATAAACCTTCAATCTATTATAGTTAAATTTAGCAGTTACTCTACAAACCATGTGTTCTGTAGCTCCTTAACTATAATTCAGGCTTAACATTGCATACGTTGTAATGTGATTAATGCAGATGCGCACATTGCAGTATTGATGCTGAAACTATTTATTGTGCAGCCATAGTAGGAATTACATCAATATTTACACATATATATTCTGTTGTTTTTGAATTAAATCATAGTCATTCATTATTAAACTTAGAAATTAATATTTTCCAGATAAAGTTCGTTTTGTTCGTTATGTATTTCTAGATTTGTTTTAGGTAAAATTTACAATGCTTTAACTGTCCCCTTTACTAGCTTAAAATTTAAATGTTTCCAATACTTGATGTTAATATTTGAGTTTTTTTTTTCTTGCCATTTTATTTCTTTAATAAAGAAAGTCTGCTGGTATGTTTAACTGGGGGCTCGTCTGGGATGTTATTACATTAATTTGGTTGAATACATTTAGTAGTTAAATACTTTTAGAACATCTAGTTATTTTGTAGCCTATCAAAGTGGACACCGTGGCTCTGATATGATGCTGAGTCACTTGAGGACTAAGAGCGGAAGTTTAAACGTATATTATAGTATGGAGCTTCTGAGCCTCCACAGTGAACCACAAATTTAATGAGCTCCATTTCCAATGACAAGGGGGCAATCACATGAGGAAACCGGAGGTAATTTAAGCCAAAAAAAAGGCTTGTTAAATGGAGTGGAGAGCCTACATGGCTGTACGAGCTGTACACACATTGGCTTTAGAGAGTCGTTAGGTTAGTTTCTGGGATCGTTTCTCATTCAGGCTGTAATGAAAGTCAGCACAAGGGCATTACCTGCTCCACCTGATGAACCTGGATTACTGTAGCATTGCTGATTCGGCACAATACAACTAGCTCAGGGCAAACCTAATGGCTTTATTTATAGAAGATATATATAGCTATCCTTATTTTTTAAAATAATTTCTGTCTGGCTACTTTGAACTGCAGCAAGAGTTTCCAAAGCGTGCAGTGAAGCTCTGCTGATTTGTCTTTGCTCTGCTGGGGATTTTTGTTCAGAGACTCTTTACATTAAACCATGTTTGGTTGTTTTTGTTCAGAGATTCGAGCTCAACTGGTGGAGCAGCAGAAATGTCTAGAGCAGCAGACCGACATGAGGGTCCAGCTCCTTCAGGACCTCCAGGATTTTTTCCGCAAGAAGTCTGAGATCGAGATGGAGTATTCACGAAACCTGGAGAAACTCGCCGAACGCTTCATGGCCAAGACAAGGAGCACCAAGGACCACCAGCAATATAAGTGAGTGAATTAGGTTTATTACTGGCGACTCTTTTTGTGGTTTGTATCTGGAACGCACACAATCGTTATTGTTGAATAGAGTGTCATTATTGTTAATCTGAGCATTGTAAAGTTTTTAAACTTCACTCTGTGTGTGTTTAAATGAACTATTTTATAAAGTATGCAATGAAAATTATGTTGTCTTTTTCAATATATCCAATCATAATTGTGGTTATCTTTCGTTTTAGTAAAGGGCATTGCGTGGTAGACTTTTTATTTCTTTTTCGAAGTGGATTCTTATAATATAATTTATAATAATAATAATAATAATAATAATAATAGGTTTGAAATGTACTTGTGGTGGTAGCCTGATTGAAACACACCTTTTACCCACAGCACACAGTAAACTACATGCACCAAACCAAAGAATAATGTGATTTTTAACTATATTTGTATTTATTATGACACTGTTAAACATCTTTTCTTTTCAATGGGTTAAAGTTACTCTTACTTTTATGCATTTAATGAATTTCCAAAGCATTTTAGATATGTATACAGTACATAATCATCATTCTTGTATATTTTTCCTAATAATATTTGCCTGTCTATAATATTGTTTATAATATTATTAATGTTATATAACATTATACTTCATTTATTTATTATCCATTTGTGTATTAGCCATGGTTACTTAACTGCTGATTTGCTTGATCTGCTTGATTTGCAGTGTATTGAGGCTTAAAATATCTCATTATGTCAGTAGAGTCACTAGCTAGAAAAAACACCAGCCACTGGTACAACTCAGTATTTTGACTGTGTTTGTTTTTGACTTCTGTAAATAGTCCAAGTGCTTGTTTAAGAGCCCTAAATGAGTCCAGCAGCTGTAAGCTCAACTGAAGGCAATGGAGAGTCTCAGTCATGGCACTTGTGGTTTATGTGGCCTGTCGTTTTGAGAGCTGCATAAGATACTTGACAAAACTCACTAGCATTCTCTGAAACACAAGACGTTAAACTTGATACTTCTCAAAAGTGTTGACAGATGAATGAGTAAAGCATGCCATAGATTACAATTGCAATGTCAGTTGCTCATTTGTGACCATAAGGGGCAGTTCGTTCATTGTTTTTCATTGTAAACTCATGCTTGACGGATGTGTGTGAATGTTACTGCTATAGGCATGGGCTGGTATAAGATTCTAAAGGTATGATAACCTTGGACAAAGATATCACGTTTTTACTGTATTGTGATTATTAGTCTTTGTAAAGGGTCACGAAACACCAAAACACATTTTTTTGAGATGTTGACAGTCATATATGTGTCCCATGTTGCTAAAAACACTATTAGGACACATAATTAACTAAATAGGGAGAGATTTGTTCAGAGCAAATTCGTTCTTCCGGTTTAAATAGAAATTGTAAAGCTATGCCACGGTGATGAGATCATTGTGTAAATTCTAGCGTGGTGACTGGATGGCTGTACCGGCCAGTACAAAGTGACGTCATTGAGTTGTCAGCACATCTGTTCATTAATTCATGAGAAAGACTTGGTTCAAACCAATCAGCATGCTCTATTGAGAATAAGATGCAACTTCATAAATATGCATGATATAGCTTTGAAGGCTCTTTTTACCCGTTACAATGTTCAGAGACATTGTGTTGCCAACCGTAATTAAAACAAGTGGACGAAGAAAAAGAATTGTATAGAGATATGGGTCATCAGTTTTGCGCTTATAAATGTGCCGCAAAAAAGTTTTTGGTCTGCTAACGAAGTGGTCTGCTAACATTTTTTTTACCCGAGAATGTTTTGCATCTGGAAATTGTGAGATCCAGATTTGCCGCTTGTATCCTTTTAAAAAAAAAAAGGAGCAGTTTCAAGAATTTATTTCACTAAATGTCTTTAAAAAAGTATAAATAATTTAATGAATTGGTGTTGATTGTTGGTGTTGATTGTCCTGTCTCTACAGATTTGGAAAGTGTGTGATCCATGTTCTTTGTTTATGTTTATTCATATGGCAAAGTTAGTTAGTATCGTTAGTAGTACTCTTTCAGTTTTTAAGGACATACCTTAGACAAAATTATTTATTTACTAAGTTTACAGTTAAATCATTGCAGTATTATGGACTGAAAATCCTCCACTTTCACACAGCTCTCAGATCCGCTGTAAATGCTGCTCTCTGAACCACCATCTATCACCCCAGCGTCTGTGTTTGTGTTGCCGGTGTGAAAATCAACTGGTGTGCATGTAATGAAACTCCCCTTTTCATGCAAACCCTTCCCTCTTTCGACACTGCCATCTAAACAAAGCTGGACTCACCCACTTTCCTGAGTTTTTTCAAACCAGAGCTGTGAAAACCCTGCTAGGGGTTAAAAAAACAATTTTGTGGGTAAAAATCTTTTTTCTCAATTGAACATTTTTTAATTTTATGAAACCTTAGCCAGAGATATACACATACACAGGAGTTATCCTGGATGTTAGTATGTAACTTTTTTTTTTTAATTATGAAAATTATAGTTTTACATCACTTTTCTACATTGATGGATCAGTGATCGCACGGGCATTCCTGACAAAAAGCTTGTGTTTGTATGTACAGAAATGTATTATTCACCCTCCCTGTTAAACTTGATCTAATCCGTGCACACATCTCCTCTCCTGCTTTCACTTCTCATACGGACGGAGGGAGCGATTCGTTTGTGAATAACTCTCCGTTATGAACGACTCTTTCACTCGCCGACAATAATACAAGTTTCTAGCAGCGCAGCATCTCGTTGTCATATTTCTTTTGCATTGTTTGTTGATTTTATTCAACAAAACTAGCATAAGCCCAGTGTTTAGTGCGAGTTGGAGCTGCTTTGCCTTATGATGAATACAGTAAGAGACTGTATTATCATCAACAACGCTAACTATCTGTTTAACGTTAGCACAAATTTCAGAACATACAAAAACGTAAAAAACTTAATCTTACCTATGAAATGTTCTGCCTTTGTGCTTTGTTTTATTTGTTTGCTCGTTACTACACTCGTAGACAGCGCTAAAGTCCCGCATCTTCACGTAATAATACTGCCTTGTCTAGTGCGGTTGAATGACATTTGTCCTGGGAGCACTGTACCAATGTGGCGGCGCTATTGAGGCATGCTCAGGGTCCCTATGCGATATCTAGTGTATATATTTATGTCACAAATTGAGGAGCGGGGAAATGAGGCGTGGTGAAGCGACAACGCGTGGAATCCTTCACAAACTGAGGAGCGATCACAAACCGAAAGCGGCGAGAGCGTCAAAGTAGCCGGAAGTCATTCATTTTTTTTACGAGAACCGGCGGCGAGAAACAGCGGCGCGTCTTCATTGGTTATAACGTAGTTCGGCGGCAAGCAATCAGAATGAAGTAGCCCACCGCTTGAGAGGAGTTCAGAGAACACAGTTCTGTGAACTTTGGTTCCGACCACAGTTGTTCCCTGCGGGCCCGTCCGCTACGCCACTGCTCATCACTGTCAGTTCCATAGCAGTGGATCAATCAAAAAACATATAAAGTGCTGATTTAGCTTAGCCCTGATGTGCTGGTTGAATTAGCTTCAGAATGAACTGTAATTAATAGAAGAGTTCAGCTCAAAATAAAAATTTACTCACTATTTAACCTCCTTCAAGAGGCTTTAAACCTTCATATATATACTGAATTTACTGTATTTAGAAGAAAACTGAAAAACATTTGGCTTTCATAGCAGGAATACTGTGTAAGTCACTGGTTACAGAGGAAAGCAAGTTTTGTAAAACAGATAATCAAGTAAACAGATTTGAAACAAGTAAAGGGTGAGTAAGTACTGGAATAATTTCCAGTTTTGTGTGAACTATCACCTTTAAATGAGCTTTTTTCCATATTTAAAGACATATTACCAGGTCTTTCAGCTAAGCTTGGACTCTTTCAAAACCACTTGGCCCCAGTCAAATGCTTCAGACCAGTGCTGCCACTATTGTATCCCATTTTGTACCATCATCCGGACTTGGTCTGGCCCTATGTCTGACCAATGGCGTCGACATGAGGCCTACTGAGCCAAAGCTTTGTTGAAGTTGGCCGGATACATGCGGTCAGCAGAATCCAGTGAAAACCAGCGAGAGGAAAGATTAAGTGACTGTTTGTCAAGAAGCACAGTTTACTCTACCTGTGGGATTGTAGGCACAATAAATCTTCTTGGAACATCTCAGGTGACTTTCTTAGCAAAGTGTGATGGATAATGATACCAGATACTGTAGATGTGGTCACATTATCGTGTTTATACAGTGTATGTATGGATTTGGTTAGCTTCTAACCCAAAGTTTCCATTTTAGAGATGTTTTTTTATGTAGTGAAGATTTGATTTATAACTTATGCAGAAGGTTGTGGTTTGAGGAAAGTAATGACATAGAACTGACCACAGGACCTATTTTTGGTGCTACAGCAATTGGATTTGACATTATAGAGAATATCACATTGGCAGACATGTCGCAGGTTACTTTTACTCTGCAGTGATGCATTGAACAGTTAATAAAGTGACATTAAACTATTTATAATGTTACAAATTTCAAATAAATTCTTTTGATCAGTCATGGTTTTTACAAATATTAATTTGCACATAATAAAAAGGTCTCGAAAGCAGCAAATCTGCATATTAGATGGGTTTCTAAAGACTGGAGCCATCACTAGTCAAAATTCAGATTTTACTTCTTGGAAATAATTGACATTTTACAGTGTATTATAACCAAAGTTATTTTACATCTGAATTATATTTCACAGTTTTTGTTTTATGATTAAATAAATTCAATTAATTTGAGAGAAAACGATACTTGATGACCCCAAATTTTTGAAAGGTCTAATATGTTTAATAATTATTTGAGTGATTTTAAAGTGAATAATAAAATATATGTAGCATTTATACTTATTTATTATTTATTTACTGTTTTTTTTTAAAGGCCCAAATCTAACGTTAGCAATATATTACATTAAAGACATCATTCAAAATTAAAAAGAACCTCTCTTTTTGAAACGCACTGTTTT